CTTTCAAGTGCCCACTTGGCTCAATATAAAAAAAAAAGAAGATCTTTACGCTTCTTGTGCGAAGGCGATTGCTTTATGTATGTGCGCGGGTAGTTCAAGAAGTTTCGGTTGCGTGGGCTGAAATTTATATATTAATATACTCTAATTTTATATAAAATGAAGTTGGTGATATGTTAAATATAAATTAATGTACTTCGACTTCTTACATTTACAGCTTTTCTTTATAGCATAAAATACTTTTCTTTATTGCCTTTTAAGAACAACTGTGACCACCCATTTGCCCAGTTAAATCCCGACCAAATCAACTGTTTCTCCGCCAATTTCTTGGGTCAGACGCTTCTCGAAACGAACGCAAATGCGAAAATTACACCCCAAGCGACCAATTTAAAGCCATTAAATTATAATTTTAAATTTTAAAGAGCCTATAGAAACTGAACGGACTGACTGCCCAAGACAGAAGACACCCAAACGCATTATTCAATTAGCGCGAATGCTTTGTTTATTTTCGAAGTAGAATCGTTTCACGTTTTTTTTTTTCAGGCAGAGCTTAGTTAACAGCACGCAGTTGAAGCGATTGCTCAACACTGGCAGAAGGAAACGAAAAAAAAAACGTTTAACTTTGCACGAAAAGCGGAAAACTAAGAAATAAATAAAGTAGGTTTGAGTAGTAGGTGTATCTTCTAAGTTATGTGTGTGTGTGTGTGTGTAGGCTACATTTATCTGCTTTAATCTGCGCTTGCAACTGTCCCCAACTGACACTCATAATTAAAGAAACAAATAAAGCACACCGCATAGCAGACAACAACAACAACAACAACAGCAACAACGACAGCAGCAAAAGCAGCCTCCGCAGTCGCTGCGTCCATATTAACATAGTGCAAGAGAATAAAAACAACAACAACAACAAAGGCAGCGGCAGCAGCAGCGGCAGAGACAACGTCGACGACGACGACGACGACGGCACTTGTCGTGTCTGCGTCTGCGCAGCGTCGACGTCGTCCACTTCGCAGACTTTACAAAGCTTTCAGCTGCGGCTGCGTCAGCGCCAGCAACTGCTGCTGCTGCTGCTGCCTTGACTTTGACTCTTTGCCTTGGCCTGTTGGCAAGCCGAAGCTTTTAAGCTGGCTTCGCTGTCGCTGCCGGCGTCGCTGCTGCTGCCGCCGTTGGTAACTTCTTCGTGTCTGCAAACGGCTGCTGTCTTAGTTCTTAAGTCCGTCGTTGGCGTGCTCCTCTTCAGTTCGTTGCTGACCAACGTAACGTGCGGACGTGCCAAGCTCGCCTCCAAAGAAAGAAGAAAGAGAAAAATTGAAAGAAACATACAAAAAAAAATACAGCAAAACGAGACAGCGTGTTTCAGTGTGTGCAGTTGTTGCTTTCGTCTACAACAAACACCAAAAATTATATACAAATTTAACATTTAATGGTAAAAATTACAAAAATATATAACATAAAAATCAGTGCGCGACGCGTGTGCAAAAAAAAAACAAACTTGACAAATATTCCAAAAAAAACTAAAAAAAAGAAGAAAATTTAAAAATTAAAAATAATAATAATAATTAGGTCTAATGTGTTGTTGATCCTGCGACCCAAACAATATTCTTCCGCCACGGCCAAAAGTTGTTTAAGAATTTCCTCAACTCGCCCGTGCTGTTGTTGTTGTTTTATTTTTTACGGTCTCGATCTGCTAGAACGTCGCTTCAATGGGTTTTTTTTTGTGTGTGTTTGGGGCTGTGGCGGCGTTGATTTTGTTCATGTCCAGCCACTGGCGTCCGGCAAGGAGCAGGGGCTCAGGGGACGAGGGCTGCAGTTGTTTTGCGCTGTGTCCATGTCCGAGGCGCGGCTAGCGGCGACTGTAATTTCTGTCTTGCGCATTCTAAACACACACACACACACACTCGAAAAAGCAAACAAACAAACAAACAAACATGGAACGCAGTCAAGTGAAGACAGCGCAAGTTGAAGGCGCGGCCCAGGGGCTAGCGGGCGGGCGGTCGGTCAGGCAGATGAAGACACTCCTGCCACGGCTAGTTTGGGAGCAGATGCAGATGCAGCAGCAGCAGCAGCCGTGCCACATGTGTTAGCATGCGCGCTCGCTCTAGCACGCTGCGTCGCCATATTGGGCGCATAACGGTGCAAAAATCGCGCTGCTTTTTGCTTGCCACAGCTTCTGTGACTCTCCGAGCGTGTGTCTATCTGTGTGTGTGTGTGTGTGTGTGTGTGCTGCTTTTTATGCTGCCAAGTTTATGTCCATGGCCGCTGCATTGATGACGACCCAGCGACCGATAGACCAACCGACACCGACGACCAAAGTGCGATCAAGCGAAAACCGCAAATAAAAAATGCAAGAAAAAAAAACTGCAAAAAAAAAATATATATCGAAATAAAAAATGAGCAAGAAAAATGCATTCGCGAGCTGCATTCACATTTGCAACTCCATTTGCAGTTTTGCGGTTGTGCAGACAAACACACACACACACACACACACGGGCGCTGATCGATTGTGCGTGTCGCGGCGGACACATAAATTCTGCCAGCTGACACTTGGCTGCCGACACAGGCTTAATCCTGGCACGGCTCCTGCAACTCTGACTGGGTCAGCTGCGGCAATCAATCTCGCTGCCGGCGCGGCTGCAGCTGAGCTGATTGAATGGGGCAGCATTGGCTGCGCCTTGACGAGCGCTTAACGCCCCTGCACTTGCACTTTGACCGCAATGCAAATAATCATCATTTGCAGGACTTGCTGAAAATAAACCGCTAGCAGCAACAGCAACGTGACTACACTGAGCGAAATTTGTGCTAGAGTTGAGCATCTGTATGTAACCAGAGTCTGGTTATTGATAGAAAGATCTTGAAGGCAAACTTTGATCATATGAACTATTTATGTTGCTCTAGAGCTTAGAACGTTATAGTATATTAGCATGATGCTTGAGGTTTTCGGGCTTATCAAGATTGCAGCTTTCTAACCAAAAAATAAAACAACAAACATTTAAATATTTTATTTCTAATATGAACTAAAGACTCTTTTGTTGCTTAATAATCAAGAACCTTTACGGATATATTTCATAAACGGGACTCAGCTTTGGCCTAGCTGCTAGTTCTCTTAATTTTCTTTTAGTTTCAATATTATATATTCTCGACTTGACAAACAGTTAAATATAATACAAAAATTATATTTTTAAAAAATTTCAGTTAATGCAGGCATCCTTTTTACGTAACTTTCCTAACTTCTCTAGTTGTCACAAACACATATATTCACGTCAAATTTAAATTCTTTTGTGTGCAACCCCACAAAATATAGGATTATATTCACCAAAAATCATAAATATATATATACATAAAGAAGTGATTTTTTATTAAATAATAAGGTTTACTAAATTAACTTCTTCTATATTTATATGCATACTTCTTCTAAATATAAAATAACTTCTGCGATTTCATAATTATAGAAGTTCAGAAAAAGCCTACACAAATAGTTCTAAATACTGCTGAGATATATATAAATATTTACAAAAAAGTTAGTTATGTTATTTAGCTAGAGGAATATGTGTTGAAATACTTAAGCATGTACGAATATAAGCCAAGAATATCTTCTAGAAAAACTATCTAAAGAAGATAAAAAAAATATAGAGAAAACTTGTGAAGAAAACGATTATTCTAAGTATTTCGGAATCAAGATTGTATATTTTTCACATATTTAAAAATTGTTCTATATTCAAAGTACTTTGAAGATTCACTTGCTCAGATCGTAATAGTTTTCCAATACGATTTCTGATTGCACAAAAATTCTTAAATTTTCAAAGAACTTTAAAGCTTCAGTTGCTTAGGCACAAAAAAACAAATGTTCAATACGTTTTCTCATTGTGCATAGCGCAATAATTTCCAAGAGCATTATTGGTCAATAGGTTATGGCTGCGCAGCATCCACAGTTTCCGTGTGTTTGTTGTGCCTGTCCATGTGTGTGTGTGTGTGTGTGTCCCGCTGTAAGGCATTAGCATAGACTGCAGTTTAATGGGCCACACAGACAACGTTGAATGTCCGATGCTCACTAATTTTTATGTGCACAGCTTGCGGCTGTTGCCGCTGCTCCAAGTTTCAGCCCACTTTAAACGGAACTTCAAGTCGGGCAACGCCTTTAAGTTTTTAAGAGGTTTTTATTAAGTTATAAAAACGACAACAACAACAACAACAAGAGCAGCTAAGATCTGGCTGAGAATCAGCCCAAATACAAACAAAATTGAATGCCGCATAACGGTTATGGAGCTGACAACGTTGTCGTCACATTCCCAAGCGCACATTGCAATAAAATTGGATTTTATAACTAAAAGAAAAAAACCCAAAAATCCAACAGCAACAACAGCAACAAAAGAGTTCTATTAGCAGTGAGAGGCAAAAAGACAAAGGTCGTCACAGCAAGTGAAAATAGCGACACAAAAAAAAACCGAAGAAAACGAAAAAAAAAAAGTAGGAAACAAAAACAATTATAGGCAGCCAGGTGTTAATTTCAAGTTCGTTGCCTAAGTCTTTTGTTTTTCCTCTACGTTTTTTTTTTTCGTAAGTGGAGCGCACTGGCTGCGCCCATTGAATGCGAATGAGGGGCGTGCGAGCCGGCCGGCAAAACGCCATAAAAAAAAAAGAATCCAAAATGAAACACATTCACATATATGTTTTTATTATTTTATTATTATTATTATTTTTAATTTAGTTTTATTTTTTTTGGAAAGCGCATTTTTCGCTTTGGTTTGCTTTTTTACACGCATTCAATGTTTCGTTTGGCTTCGTTTCGTTTCGTTTCATTTCCGTTTTGACCCCGTCAAGTTCAAAGGTTGTGCCTGCAGCAGACATACACACGCAAATAAATAAACAAACAAACAAAAAAGACAACAACAACAACAGCTAGTTGCATTTGACAACAAACACATAGCTGGAAGATTCTTCTTGGAAGCGAGCGCTCTGTGAGAGCAACAACAACAACAACAACAACAGCAGCAGCAACAACAACAATGACAGCGACAGCGACGCCGACGTCGACGTCGGCTGCGTCGAGAAAGCAACCTGCAAATAACGCGTTGCTCAGCGAAGCTTTTACGGTTAAGCGGCTTTTAGCGGTAAGTCTACACGAACAAAGCTACAAACACAAATACACACACACACATATGCATGCACATACATTGGCATTGCGCCAGTGTTGACAAACATTTTGCAAATCCCATTGATCAGCGCAAACGAGGTTGCCACAATATTTAATTTTGTACATTTTTTTTAAGTTTGTTAGTCGGGGGCGTTGCCAATGCGAACTGCTCCACAAACGCCAAACTCCAATTATTGTCAACCGTTGCCATTGTTCGCCTAAGCATTGCCAGCATTAAGATATATGCGATACTTAGACATATATATGCATGTATATACATGTATTTATTTTGTATATGTATATATATTTGTTTGTGCTTTTTGAACATTTTTGGCGTGGGTTGGGCATTTACTTTAACTTGACTTTGACTTTGATCGTGGGCCGTTGGCCAAGTTTTTCATACAGCTCGCTAAGTGACTGTCTCTCTGTGTGTTTGTGTGTGTGTGTGTGTGTGTGCGTGTTTGAGTGTGTGAAAGAGCTGTGAAGTCGGCCATTGGGTCAAACTGTGTCTGATAGATGGCTAGGCGTCGATGATGATGTTCTTCTGCCTCTGCCTCTACCTCTTCCTCTACCTCTTCCTCTGCCTCTTCCAGCTCCATGGCTGTTCTTATTGTTATTGCCCGCTCGGCAGGGAGTCGTCACTTGAGCGCTGAATAATGTAGGCAAATTAATCTAATAAAAACGGTGGGAGTTACACTTTTTATTTGGGCTTAGTCTTGGGAACTTGACGCTTCATGCTCTAGTGGGCTTCTGTCTGATCGTCGTTAGATCGCGATGCCTGGCACGCAACAGCTTTGAATTATTAAAGTCATAAATGTTGATGAAACTTTCTGAGCACAAGAAGTTTGCATTAAATAAATATAGGCTGAGTAGAGGAAATTATTATAAAGTAACTTTTCAATCTGAAAGATTTTTTTTTAAGAAATCGAATAGGAAACTTTATTTAACTAACAAAATCGTTTAAAAAGAAGGCGAAATATGCATAGTCAGATTGGATCGTTCTTGAAGACATTTTCTATATATTACAACAAAATAATGATATGCATGCATACATATAAATATACATAACATTTTATTATTTTATAAATCAATATATAAACTTTTTTGAATTTCTTTATGATTTATTAAGTTTTCCTTTATATTTCGTTGCCCACATTTCAAGTATTCTCCTATAAACACATATATAAATCCAAAATTGCAGCTAAATTTGAACCAGCGACCTTTCTTTGGCTCAAACACTGCCGTCCTGCCACAACGACTAGAATAATTTTCAGCCTTAGCTAACTTTAATCAACTGCAATTTTTAATCATTGTGCAATTCTTTTAGTTTACCAGCACTGGAAAAGTTTCCATACATTTTCCACACACATTTTTCCGCCAGCGCCAAAACGCAAGCGTAACAAATTATTTATCTCCATTTCGTTGTTTGTTTTGTTCTTATCTCTTTCTCTCTCTCTCTCTCTCTGGTTCTCTGGCGGCCTGTTTCGGCCAGCTTGCAGCCGCTTCACCTGCATTGCAACCGCAGCCCTGCCTCCCCTCCCCTCAGTTCGGGCAGCTGTGCTGCGGCCAAAGGTCAGCAGACAGGCTGGCGCCCGACGATCATTAAACAACAACAAAAAAAGAACCATATACGAAAAGAACTAAAAAAAAATGTACGAAAGTAATTTGTAAAACACGAAAAATGATTTGCTTTTTTCCACTCTGTTTTTCTTGTGCGTGTGTGTGTGTATGTGTGTGTGGTTCTTCTGCTTGGTCCTGTTGCAGTTCTTTTACGATGCTGCGCGTAAATTACGAGTGCCGCCTGGACCTGGGCGTTCGGGCCACTTCTTCATTAGCGCAACGGGCATTGTAAAAATTGCAAAGTTGCCGTAAACAAAATATAAATCAACCGCGACAGCGCCCCCCTGCCCCTTGCCCCACAACCAGTTCGTGCTGATGAATGATGTGCGTGCTGAAGATGTATTACAGCTTGCCACTTGCAAATCAACATGAGGACACACACACACACGCACACTTGGCTGGCAATTATTTGGCTAAGCAGGCAGGTGCAAATATTTCATACATTTTGTCTTTTTTGGGGCTATTTAGACGCAGCTTTTGGTGCCACTTGAAAGTTGCCTGCCACCAAGACAACAAAAGCGTCTGGCAATGAAAGTAACTTGCTCGCTTAATGGGTCAACCTGCCACACAGAGACGCAGAGTGAAAGAGCGAGGGAGAGGGAGGGAGGGCAGGCAGGTTGTGTAGAAGCAGAGTCGTTCATATGATGGCCACTCTAATGGGCCAACAACAATGATCACATTCTCTGCTCGTGCTTAAAAGCCACTCGAAAGCATAATTAAACAATTTTTTATTGACTTTTTCTTCTTCATCTTTTTTTCTCTTTATATATACATAGAGATATATTGATGCTGTGTATTGAGAATGGCACTGAGACTCTGTCTCTTTCGATAGTTTGGGCCTGTTGCCTGTTTCCATTCTTTTCAACTCGAATACCAATTGCTGCTGCCGTTGCTGCTGCTGCTGCTGTTGAGTGTTTTGTTATGAGCCCACGTTTAGTTTTGCGGCGACAACAACAACAACAACAGCAGCAACAAAAATCCAATTGGAAATAAGTAGAAATTGTGGTTGTTAAGTGATTGTGGCAAAAGTGCCTGGCTCCCAATTCTAACTGTAAACATATGCATATTCATGTTTTTCTAGGAAAAAAATTGCATTTGAAATTACATAAGTGTGACCGGCATATAATAGATTTAATATTAGCTCATTTATGGTTTTTTGTGCAGGCTTTAATCCAGCAAATCTTAAGTTAACTGAAAAGCTGCACTAACAAAAATTGTCGAATATTTCGTGCCTAAATCAGATTAGGTTGAGTTTGGTTTAATCCACAAAATCTTCATTTAATCGAGAGTCTGCGTTGAAGAAAATTCGTATATCTGGTGCCTAAATCCCAGCTTCATTTATTTTTATTTTTTTTAAAGCTGACTTAAAACTTCTTTAATTTAGCAAATCTTAAGTTAATTGTGCACATGCAAAAAAAATATTGAATATTTCGAACCCGAATTGCAGCTTAGCCTAAGTTCGATAAATAAATCATTTTTAAATAGAATTTTTAATATAAACCCACTTCCAGTCTATGCTTAACTCGAGTAGAAAAAATCTGAGCTTTCGGGCGTTATGGCCTTTTTTAATTCTCCTTTTTACATGTTAAATTATTTGAATTAAAATAATATTTTTCTGGAAATTCATTTTATAAAATAAAATTTTAAGTGTTCTTCCTTTTTATTAATTAAATATTAATTCATGTTAATTTGTAGAACACTTTTTCCTAGGATTTTTTTTCCAAAACTAAATCTTGAGTATAAAATTGACAACCGTCTTCTTAAATATTGCTAAAATAATCAAGCACTTATTTGACAAGTTCGATTAAGATTTCCTGAAAAACCAAAAAGTTTTTTTTTTACAATAATTCTGGGTACAGCAAACAGGTTATCTTTATATATCTATATCTGAAGAGGGTAATTTGCCCAGATATATGAAGAAAACTGCGGAACAACAGAAACTGAACACAAATGTATGTGTCCTACAGCGTTACATATTTGATTGCAAACACCATAATACCCGCTGCATAGGGTATAAAAATATCTCTGTAATCAACATAAACATCAAATTTATTGGCATAAACAAAAAGTGCGCAACTTGCGTCATTTGCCATGAAACTGCATTCAGGTTCGACTTCTTTTTCCAACTGTAAACTTACATCTCAACAACAACAACGGGCAGAACTTGGCTTGCGTGCTTTTGTTGGCAATTGGAATTCTTATTGGTATAGAGTTTGAGCCGGCGACCTGTCGCCCCCCCCCCTTTCCCCCCCTTTCCCCCACCGTTTCGGTAGATATCTATTTCAATTTAATGCTGTCATTGAATTTTATGCCTCAGCAAATTCAAGTTGCAAATTAAAATACATAATTACACAAATCAGACGGCGCAGTAAGGTTTTGTTTTTTTTTTCGGTATATTATCTAGTCAGACTATGCAAATAGATGAAGTTACCTAACTTTTGCTGAGGTAACAAGCGAGTAGTGGGGCGAGGGGAGGGAGGTTTTATCTAGCAGCTAGTTGGCATAATTAATGGCGTGTGGCGCTTAACACGAGTGCATTGTACTCTGTGCCATAAACAGATACACAGACAAGGTTCTAGCCGAAAAGATACAAAGCTGTAGAACTGTATCTTGTGTTTTGTCGAGTACCCTTTGTGTTTAATTATAGAGACAGACAGAGAGAGAGAGAGAGGCAGAGAGGGGTAGAGAGGGCTAGAGGGAGAGCGAGCCCAAAAGGGGCCCGTTTTCAGATCTGCAGTCTCGGGTCTGAGAGCTGGGCGTGTGTTGTGTTCAGGCAACTGTTAATTTTGTTTTACAACCTGAGCTTGTATCTCTATAGCATCTATAACGTGTTCGTCTACTTATCTGGCTAACTGTCAGTTACAAACGCTCGTAACACACCTCACACACCTGTCTCTGCCTGAGTGTGTGTGTGTGCAGCTCTTCATTCATAAAAAAAAAGGCAGCTGCCTCTCGTATTGTATCTTTTATTTTTGTATCTCGTGCGATTTTCGACTACACAAATTAATTATATGTGCTAGCTGTTGCTGTTGCTTTTGCTGTTGTTTATGGCCAAGACTTTTGGCTAACGGCAGTTTCGTGTGCTCAAACAATTAGCTGGCCGCTGCGCAAATGCCCGCCAGTGTTGGTAAATTCTCCGCGCTTTGCATGAGCTGTTCAAATTTTGCGCTTGGCTGCCAATTAAATTGTTGATTAACCATAATTCTTATATCATCTGCATTTGCTGCAATTATGTAAGATCTGTGAATTCAATCTTGGCCACGAGGCCAACAGACTCAGCCTCAGCTTGAGTCCAGCACAGAGCTCAAGTTCATATGGACTGTAAATGTGCCAGTGCATATAATTGTTGTAGATGAGGTTTTATGCACATAATGCGGCAATTTAGATAGCTTCAGAAAGGGGCTGAATGTAAGTTCTGGAAACAATTAGATAATTGTGGAGCTAAAAGTGCTGGCAACTATTAGATTATTGTGGATATAATAGCTGCCAGAACTTACATTATGCTCCTTCTTAAGCTTGGCATTTAGACTAAGATACTTAGGCTTAGAAACTTGGCCTTCGATACAAGAAAATGTACCAAAAACTCTTCATCAAAGTACGACTTTTATGAGGGTATTATAATTTTGTCGTGAAATGTGTAACGCATAGAAGGAGACATCTCTTGTTTCGCATATAAATATAAAATCCTCACAAAATAAAGTTAACTGATTAAATGACTTCTCTAAACCACAAGCAGACTTTGCTTGCCCTGAAACCTTAACTAGTTGAGAATTGCAAGCTTCAAGCAGCCTAAAAAGCACAGCATGCTTTGAAGCAGTCCATTTTCTGTCTATCGCATTCGATTTAAATGAAGCTTATGCACAACTTCTTTAGCTTAATATTAATATTTTTCATATTTGGTTTTCGTTTTGCAGATCCTTGTATTATTCACACTGCTGCACAGAGCTCAGGCCTTGGAGCTGGGCGACAAGTGCCAGCATGACATGGACTGCACAGATTTCATCAAGGGCAGCAGCTGCTCGGCGCTGGGCTACTGCGAGTGTGCGCCCTACTTTGTCCAATTGGACACCAAGCGCTGTTTGTCATGTAAGTCTTCGCCCAACTAGGCAAAGTCAATCTTTGAGTAACCCCCATTCGCAGCCGACAAAACAACGCATACCACGTTTTTCTTTTTTTTTTTTACCATACCTTTTTTATTGGAAGTGTTGTCGTTGTTTGGCCAGCAAATAGAGGTGGCCAAGATGTTTGCTTATATGCAGAACCGTTAGCCCGCCCCCTCACACACTCACCTCCCCTCTCTCTCTGTCTCTTCACATTGCAGCACAACTATTGGGCGGCGATTGCCAGCTGAGCGAGCAGTGCTCCATGAAGGTGGCGAACAGCAGCTGCCTGGACGGTGCCTGCCGCTGCGTCGAGGGATTCTTGCAATTCCGCAAGCACACATGTCTGGGACGTAAGTATCAGACAACTGTTGACCAATTGTGGCCCTAATTGCATGGAATTTTTCATAATTACAATTACATTAATAATATCATTCAACTCTTTGGTGTTTGGCAAATTGCAATAAATGCTCAATAATAAGATGAAAACAAGACTGGAACTTTGATTGCTTATCATATTTGTAGGGCCAACACGCAAAGCTTAGTTCTTAAGAGTCACTTTTTAGTAATTGCATTTCCAACTGGAATCTGTATTTCGTTTTTTACGTTTTACTCGATCTGCTTAAGCATGTCTCATTTCATTCATTTCCGTTGATTGTTTGCCGTTCGTTAACACTTCTATAACAATTTTCCTTTCTGTTGCCGCCACTTGACACAAACAATTAACAACATGGCCATAACAACAACAGCTACACAACAATAACATGCGACAACAAACACACAACAACAACAACAATTGCTACTCATGGGCTAACAAGACAATCGTGTCACTAATTATACGCATAATTGGTTAATTTTCCAAGAACCTCATAACGAAGCATAAGCCGCCAGAAAACTCGGCTCAAACGAAAAAAAAAACGTTAAATGAACACTTGAAATATATGTAAATCTTGAGTTTCGTTTCGAATTCTTGAGCGCGTCTTCAAGAGCTGTTGAGATTTCAAGTTTATCGGAAGAAGTGATTAACATATTAATTGTTGCTTAGCTTGGTGAAATTTTCGGGATTATCATAATATTATGATCAGCTCATTTTTAGATGGCATTATCAGATTAGAATGTTGAATGAATTGCTTCATGTTAGATAGAAAATGGGAATTATATTGGCAAAATGTTAAAAATGTGCACTATCTACAAGCGAAGCCTGATCTATAATTGCATTTCAGATACAAAAACTTATTAAAATTTATATTTTTGCATTTTTCTGGAATGCATTTGATTAACAATGTCTAGCTTCATTAACAGATTGCATTCTGATTAAAGTCCCATATAAGCTACCAGAAGTTGTAACTAGAACAGAAGGCACAAAAAGAGATTTTAATGAAATTAACAATAATTGGCAGATCAAAGTATACTAATATGTTTTTAAGTTAGTTATAATTAAAATAAGTGAAGCTATAACTGTTTCCAACAACAAGATTAGATGGAAATCGAAAAAAACGAGCAGCAATCAATTTCTGTTCCATAAAGTTCGCGTGCAATCGTAATCCAGGCTCAATAATAATCAGATATAGGTTATAGTATTATAATGCAGAAAATTTCAACTTTACATACGTCTGCGCTCCACATCATCATAACTCGAGGCTCTTAAGAAGCCTTGCTTTAAGCGATATTCATCACCATTCAGAATTATTCATCAGCCTACTTTATTTTTTAAAAACATCACAAATTGACTTTTGCTTAAAGCACATTTCCGCCAAAATAACAGTCCATTCTAAATAAACAACAGCTAGACTCTCGAGCTAATAAGAATTATTCAAATTAGATCAACAAGTGTGATTCAGGCATTAGCCAAATGCCAGCTCAGCCCAGACAAAGAGCAAAGACCTATTCATGCGAGATGGTCTGGTGTGATCTGGCCATTAGTTTAATGCGCGTTCCATTAGTTGTTTGTTTTAACGTACAGAGATCGGCTGCTATGCGAGCTGCTCCGATTGGGATCAATGCTTGGGCTCGCATTTCCCGCCGTGTTGGCACATTGGCGCCTAATGGCGTTAATCTGATTAGAATGCTCCGTCGAGCGGAGAACGGCGAGCGGAACGCGTCAGCTGGCCGACTTGCGGTACATTTGTTTGCCCTGCCGCTTAGCAGGCACGACAAAGACCTCGACTGGGACTGGGACTGAGACGGGGGTCTGGGTCTGACAGCGAACTATAACAGCAGTCGGAGCAGTAGTTCGTGTCTTTGCCATTCACCTGTTGCATTTGAATGCTGCGACTGCGGTTGGCGACATAATTATACAGCATTTAAATGCAGTCAATGCAAATGCTGACGCCCAGTGGGCGTGCCACAGCAGCTGGCAACTGGCAACTGGCAACTGGCTTTAATATTTAATTAAAATAATTTTAATGACATGTGGTCAGGTCGACTGCAGCTAGATCTGCTGCTGCCAGTTGCATGCCATTTATGAGATACTTTCACCAAAAAAAAAAACCCCCAACAACAATAAAGAAAGCAAAATGCACAGCCAAGTGAGGAGCAGAACCTTTCACCAGGCACTTAAATCTGGCCAGGTCCTGTGACAGCAGCCTCTGCTTTTCTCGATTTCTATCTGCATCTCTCCCTCTCTCTCTCTCTCTCTGCCTCGCTGTGCGACAGTTTTACATGCCTAATTGCCTGACTGTAGCTGCTTTTGTAATTAAATTGCACTGATTATGTGAAAAGAAAGCCAGCGACACGGCCACAGGCCAAAGAAAGTCCAATTAGCGTAGCAGCCAGCTCCAGAACTCCGGCTCCGACTGCAGCTGGAGCCAAGAATTCGCTGCAACTGCAACTACAGCTGGAGTTGACAAACTTGGCGGGGCCAACGTTCACTCGAGTCGCTGCGCTTCGGTCTGCCCCTCTTGGGTCAAGTTGAGCAAGTGCTGTGCCAGATTTGGAGCTGTGCAGGCTTTCGCTGTTGTCGCCAGGCCAGGCCACTTGTTCCAGTTTCCCATGCACCTTAACCCAACCAAAGCTCAAGCCCAAGCCCATTTCGGGATTTCGTGTGTCTTTTAACGAACCAAACCAGCTACCAGCTACCAGCTACTAGCTACCAGCTCCCAACTGCAGCTCGAGCGCTCTTTATGAGTTATGCACACATATGACAATGTGCACCCCTCTGGCCGGCCCGTCCAGCTCCAACGTAGGAAAAAGTATGCCAGCTCGGGCAAATAGTGCACAGATATATCCAGACGGTAAACAACACAGTACCTCGCCATGACGAAGACGTAAACGTAGCCGAAGACAAGCAACAAAAAAAAAAACGGAGCTCGAGAAATTTTGAGATTGAGATCTCACAGCGTTGATTTGCATACAAAAGTTGCAGCAAAAGTGAAGCCAATGTTGATGATAATGAATCACTTGACCGGCATCGCTCAAATAACTGCACTTCTTCTCGTTTCTCTGATTTTCTTTCATTTTATTAAAGCCAAAAACAAGATGATATCTAAACGATACGAAAGACGACAAATTTGTGGATCTGGCAAGTGTTAAGCGTTGCCAGATACTTTTTAGGGTAACTGTTGTCCAGTGTTGTTACACTGCGCAAAATCAACGTCTGGCAAAAAAAAGGAGCTTTCAAATATGGGTTAATAAATTTACAAGGATTGGGTGCCAAGCTATTATATCTTGTAGTTGAGTCCCACTCAAAAGTTTTTAGTTTCTGGCGTAAAATAAATTGAAATATTCTAGGCTCGTTTTGTCTAAAACCGGTTTGCAGCACAGTTTAAAAGTACTTTAAGCGCTGCCAGCTTATTAAATAGAACAGAAGTGAACAATGTTAGCCAACACTGGCAGCGCAACCAGTTCCATGTCATCCACTTTCGGTAATTCCATGAAATGAGTCAACAATATTAATATATTCAAAAAATTAAAAAAAAAATCTTCTCCTTTAGTCAATGAAATTTTCGATTAATGGCAAATTTACAACATAACTTAAAATCGGCTCATTATGCAAATTCTTTTTCATTCAAACACAAAAGCTAACAACAAAAATCCTCTCACTTTTCTGAACACAAATTAAAGTCTTTAGCTTCGATTTAAATACGCAAATTTAGTTGGTCAGCGTAAAACACTTTCCATCGAAAAAAAATTCCATTCCATTTCGTTTGACCGCTTTTGGTCTCAAAAAAAAAAGAAAAATAATAATCATAATAAGAAGAAATAAAAACCATATAAAAAAAAAAGCCGACAATAGTACAACTGTGTTAATTTGCGCTTTGGGGGAAATGACATTTGAGTGACCATTTGGACAAATTGCGCCAGAAGCTAAATTGCATGCAAATTATGTGGAACAGTTTCGTAGCCAGAGCCAGAGCCAGAGTCGGGACCAGAGACCAGTTTCTAGTTCCACTCAGTTGCCCCCACTTCCGCAAACAATAACTGAAGAAATGCCATAACAATAAAAAGCAGCAAAAAATAGAAGAAACAAAAACTATATGAAAAGCATAGAAAAGAAAATGCATAATTGTGGGCCACACGGAGAAAGAGGTGACGGAAAGATTGGCAAACGCACTTGACAAACAACTCCAGAGCCCCAACTCCAAACGAAACCGAATACCAAATGCAAATGTCTGCAATTAATTAGAAATAGTGTTTCGGAAGCCGTAGTTTTTTTTTCTCCTTTGCTTTCTTATGGCCAATTCGCAATGAAAGTTGGCAGCGAAAATTAACATAAATTGAGTTATTAAAGCCGCAGGAATGCCACGCAATTGGCCGCCAAATGTGGCTGCTGCAAGCACCAAAAGAGAAGTCACTGGTTCTAACTGACGCCTCAAATTGACTTCCTGCCTTGAGGTTCGGCTCGGTTCGGTTCCACGACCAAGTCTAGGCAGGAAAATTGATAAAATGTTCATTTACAACTCAACATAAAATTCTGATCTGAACGTGAAGTGAAGTGGTTTATTTTGAAAGAAAATACGGTTCGCTTGGTTTTCGGTTCGGCTGTTTTCCATATTAAATTATTAATTTGAATTCCGGCTACGAACCGGTTCATTTCATTTGGCTTGACACAGTTTCTGTGCAAATGAAATTTATGCTGATTTTGATGAAATGAATTGTTGTTGCTCTTATGATGATGAGCAGTAGCGGTAGCTCTGCCGCAACTGCAACGGCAAACGGCAAGCTGCATGCGGCAGCATCAGCTGCGATTCGAGGCGAAACACATTTTCACACGCGCCGCCGGTGGCAGCCGTAATCGAAGTGGGTTACCAGATGCAGTCGTGCCGCATTCGCATGCAACCTGTCACACCGGTGCGCCAGTCTCTGCAGAGGGAGGGCGAGGGGGGACTGCTAAGTGGCCATGGCATTGCCCCAGCTTATCGATCAGTGCACAGAGGCGTCGTCATAGTCGCC